AAGAACAACTTTCAAGATCCACAACGTTCGGGCCACCGAAAGAAGCAAGAGAACATTCCTCAAACCTCAAAATCTGAAACCATGGACTCTCAGCTATTATGCTATAATTGCCGAAAGCCAGGACACTTCAAGGCAAACTGTCCACATCCCATAGTAAGCAAACATCAAGATAACAATACTACCACAAGCCCCTCAAAGGAGACTGGAGAAAGATATAAAAGAAGCGACAAACCTGAATCTTCAAACTCCAGAAAGGAAGGAAGAAGGAAGGCAATGTTAGTAAACGAAACTTCTGACACAGTCGCAACCGAAAGTAGCTCCTCAAGTTCTAGCTCAGAAGACGAAAGCACTGATGAGGAGAAAGGACTGCTGTGCCTATTCAGTCAAGAGTCAGACGAACTATGTCTCATGGCAAATGAAGACGAGGTAAATTGTCATTCATCCTCTTGTTATTCAGCTGAGTCAAGTTCAGTGAGAAGTTTTACCTCAAATGAATCTGTCACCGAAATGATGATGAGGTTCAATGTGATAAATAGCACTTACTCGAAACTCAAGGAGAAGAACTCTCGGCTTAGGCTTAGCTATAATGAACTAAAGCAAGTTCGTATTGAGAACAATATGCTAGTCATTGCTAAGGAGCAGCTTGAGAAAGATGTTCTCGCTCTAAAGGAGCTGTGCACAACAAAAGAAAAGAGAGAGCAAGAACTGCTTGAAGTTTTGGATAAATTCAATAATTCATCCAACCTAATGGATAGAATGTTGAATGAATCCAGACTGCCCGGGGAAAGAACTGGAATTGGTTTTAACCCCAGCTCCTCTTCACAAGTCGAATTGAACAAATCCACGAATGCATATTCACACGAAAGCTTCGAGGCCGCATTTGTTCAAGGACCCACCCAGGTGTCTGAGCCTATGATGGTAGTTAACATTGTCAAAACACCACAATCAACAAGCCAACCGAAAGGTACGGCTGTACAACGAATTGTGGAATCTGGAAAGAAGAAATCTAGTAATGGCAACCCTAGACAAATCTATGTCAAAAGGAATGGACCAAATGGCAATAAACAAAGTCCACGCCATAAAAAGGGTCAGCCTAACTGGAACACTCAATCCAACAAAAAGACGAATAGTAACCAGAGGCAATATCGTCCGAAATTCACACGAAAGAATCCTGCACAAGGAATCTCAAGAAGCGGACAAATCAGACAACCCGAAAGATCCTTCAAAAGATCTGGGTATGGCAATGGATGGACTGGGCCATCAGAAGAAGATTGGTTTGATTATCCAGAACCTCTTCCAAGAGCAGTATTTGAAATGGTTCATCTGCGTAAACAGACCAATCATCTCAAGCATTATGAAAATCTTCCTCAGGAAGATCAACGTAAGAAATATAATGCTAAAGTCTTTGCCAGCTAAATGGGTACCTAAAAACACATAATCTTTGATGCAGGAAAAACAGGTCATATGGTATATTGATAGTGGATGCTCAAGACATATGACTGGTGACAAAACAATGTTGAGCAACTTTAAAGAATTTGATGGACCCAAAGTTATCTTTGGAGGTGAAAATAGTGGCAAAACTCGTGGAAAAGGGGACATCATCAACAAGGGAATAACAATTCAAGATGTCTCTTATGTTGAAGGACTGAAGTTCAATCTTCTAAGCACAAGTCAATTTTGTGACAGAGGATACAAAGTAGAATTTCTCAAAGACAAATGCAAAATCGTGAACACGAAAGATAACAAGACAGCTTTAACAGGGCAACGAAAGAAGAATATGTATGTATTATCTTTAAATTCTTCTAATGCTAACGTTTGTCTTGTAGCCAAAAGTAATGCAGATCTCAATCAAGAATGGCACAACAAACTAAGTCATCTGAACTTGAAGACGATAAACAAGCTTGCCAAGAGGAATCTCGTAAGAGGACTACCCGAAGCATCTTACATGAAAGATAAAATATGTGAGGCATGTCAAAAAGGAAAACAATTCAAGTCATCCTTTAAGTCAAAAGATATAGATACAAAGTCCCGACCTCTAAGCCTTCTACATATGGACCTCTTTGGACCAGTTGATCCAGCAAGTTTGAGTGGAAGAAAATATACTCTTGTTATAGTAGATGACTACACGAGATATACATGGGTGCTCTTCTTGAAAAAGAAGAATGAAACAGTTGCTACCCTCTATGCTACTATTAGTAACTCAATTGGACATGACACACTACCAATATGAATGAAGAGGATATGTACAAGATGAAGACAATGACAATATGTACCGAAGATATGAAGACAATAGCAATGCTACCCAAAAAAAAAAAAAAAAAAAAAAAAAAAAAAAAAAAAAAAAAAGACTTAGAGAAATTTCACCAAAAGTAATATTTATTTAGATTATCATTTTTAGACTAAGTATTTAGACTAGCGTTTTTACAAAGTTGCAAACAATTGTTTTAGTGACAATTATAATCAATCTCGACTATATTATCTTGCATTCGTAAATTTAGAATTACCCATTTAAATAAGCAAATTCAACATTCAATTACCTATACATGAACATCTCAATCGTTATGCCATGGAACCGTGTTCACCATTCATGGTGAACACGGTCCCAACGATAACGGTGCACCGTTACCTTTTTTTTTTTTTTTTTCTTAATTAACCGCGCAATTTTTCTTCTTCATTTTAACATTTCGCGGTTTCACTTCCTCTTCGCGCAAGTTTCTTCAACATTCATAAATTATGAATGTGCAGTTATGAAATTATGAATTTTCTTTTATGAAATTATGAATTTTCTGTTATGAGATTATGAATTTTCTGGTATGCGATTATGAATTTTCTGTTATGAAATTATGAATTTTCTGTTATGAGACTATGAATTTACAGAAAATTCATAATTACATAACTCTAAATTCATAATCTCATAACAGAAAATTCATAATTTAATAAATGTTTTTCTTTTATGCGATTATGAATTTTCTGTTATGAGATTATGAATTTATAGTACATTCATAATCTCATAACAGAAAATTCATAATCTGAACAAACGCGCGCCGTTAACAGTACATTATCTATTTTCTTTTTTCGTAAAAACGACACCGTTTGGACCCGTGTTCACCATTCATGGTGAACACGTTTCCAGGGCATAATTTGCGTGAACATTTCCAATATAATCTAGCATTGATATACTTTGAAGTACTTATTTAAAAATAAACATTGACATTATCTCAATCGCGCAATGCGCATGAAAAAACTAATATCTGTATAAGTGCTTATTTTGGTTTTTGGTCGTACATACAGCCAACTCCCTCTCTTTTTTCTCTTTTTGTTTTTCTTTTTTTGCTTAAAAAATGGAGGTGATGGGATGAATGAAGTGAAGTTGGTGGCTTGCTGCTCATTCACGTTCTCACAATTCAGTTATTCAAAGTCAGTATTGGGAGGCGCCAGATCACAAACTTGTGACACCGGCCACATGAACCTTCCAAACTCTTCAATTTTTTACTATTAGTTTCAATTCATTAAAATGTCCACATTCAGTGAATAGTACAAATAACAAATTCATGCTAATAGGAATAAAGTTCATTTCCTTGTATATGGTATTCATAGATCTAACTATAGATAATACCCACAATGGTTAATATCTTACAGATCAGAGGAGATCAGCTTCTCAGCCCTAGACCGTTTAAACAACGACCCATGCCAGAATTATCCAAAAAGTAGTTTTGTTAAGCGTGCGGATCAAATCATTTTTCACCATTGAATTACGACACAAGAGGCTACTCATCAAACCATTGGTTCGTACCGCTTTGATACCAACTTGTAACACCCCCAAATTCACACTTACGAGCTTAGTATAAATCATGCATTAAGGATAAAGATAAAGGCATAAATGCTGGATTAAGATAGTCAAATCCATACTCTAACATTAAGGGGAATGTTACTGCCCCAGCCACCCACACTAGGACGACTACAAGACTAAACTTACTAGAATCAATACTCAACATCCAACAAAATAAGGGTTCACAGACCCAGGTGTCCTAGCACTAACAAAATAGATAGGTAGTCTAGCGCTACATCAAAACTAACCCACAACTATCCAAAATACTTGTCATAGATAAATAGGGTAACAAAGCCTACATACTAGGAACTAGAGATAAGAGATACTATCTATCTAGCTCCTCAAGGCGCGCTCTCAACAAACATTACTCCATACCTGAAAGGGGTTATCAAGAAAAACAATGAAAACAACATGTTAGCATATAATGCTAAGTATAAGACCAGTCAACCCCGTAACATAGGTTATAGGTATAGATATATAGATTTGGAAAATAGTTTGTTAGGTACCGTATTTCCTTTGCATTCATAAGAGGTTTCAAAGAATCATAGTAAGAGGTATCTCAAATAGATATGTAAATCATTTATATCAATATTCTCACCCTCAAGAGAAATAGGATATCATAGTAATAATACTGGAGGAATCTCATATCAGTCCCATCTGTATCATCATAATCTCAATCATTCACATCTGTCTCATCATAACAGTAGGGAGGTAGGAACTTCATCATAAAGCTATTCACAGTAGAGTAAAGACTGGTCAGTTACATGGGGTCTCTATGGCTAGGGGAGCCCCAATTATTTCAAACCTATGTTTTGCGGACGATTGTTATATTTTTTGTAGAGCCTCCCAACTCGAGAGCACAGTTCTAAAAGGAATTATTGAGTCCTTTTTTTCTGGCCTCTGGGCAGTCTGTTAATATAGCAAAGTCTACTATTTCTTTTAGTAGAAATGTTCCAGTGGAAGTTAGGGGGGTTGTTTGTGAAGAGCTGCAGATGAGGGAAGGCAGTTTGAGTGGGAATTATTTGGGCTTACCATCTCTGATTGGGCGAAACAAAAGGGAAATCCTGGGATTTATAAGAAATAAGGTGGTGGGTAGAATTAAGAGTTTCTCTCAAGAGTCGGCTGGGAGATCTTATTGAAAAATGTCATTCAAGTCATCCCATCTTATGCAATGAGTGTGTTTCTTCTGCCTATTGAGATGGATAGAGAGATTGAGATAATCATGAATGCCTACTGGTGGGGTTGTGAAGGGGAGAGGAGTAGGGGTATAAGGTGGAAGAGGTGGGAATCATTGTGTTTACCAAAGAAGTGGGGGGAATGGGATTCCGGAGAATTAGAGAGTTCAATATTGCCCTATTAGGGAAGCAAGCTTGGAGGTTAATTCAATTTCCTGAGTCCCTATTTGCTAGAGTTTATAAAGCCCGATATTATCCTACCCATTCTTTCTTTGATACTAAATTATGGGATAACCCTTCGTTCACCTAGCGAAGCATTTTGGAGTCCCAAAGTGTCCTAAGAGAGGGGTTGCGGTGGAGAGTGGGGGATGGAGCTTCAATTAAAGTTTGGGGGGATCCTTGGCTACCTAATATTGATTGTCCTTTTATTCAAACTCCCTTGACAGATTCCTTAAGGGAAGCTAAGGTGGATAACCTCCTCAACATGGAGAAATATGATTGGGATTGTGAGATTCTAGATGATCTGTTTGTGCAAGAGGATGTGTCTTTGATCAAGAGCATTCCTATTCCTACTTCACACCATGAGGACAGACTAATATGGGTGAATGAAGAAAATGGTGTTTATACTGTTAAGAGTTGCTATAGGAAGTTGCAGATCCCTTTACAGAATCAACAACCTCCATTCTGGACTGATGTATGGAAGATGAAGTTGCCTCCTAAGATCAAATCTTTTGCTTAGCACTTGTGTTCGAATTCTCTTCCCACTACTGATCTATTGAGAGCGAGATATGTTGACATTCCAGCCTTGTGTTAGTTATGTGCTTCTGATGATGAATTTGCTTTTCACTTGTTTGTTGTTTGCCCTATTGCTAGACAGTGTTGGGGCCTGTTGGGAAGAGTTAACTATTGGGGCTGCCAAGGCTTTATGGATTGGTTGGAGACTCAATTCACATCATAGCCTAAGGATCACTTATGTCTTCTCATATCTGTCTGTTGGAAGTTATGGGAGGCAAAGAATGAGAAGGTATGGAATCAGGTGGTCATTCCAGCTTATGCTATAGTTAAGGGCACTCAAATCGTTTTGCGTGAATGATTGGAGGTCAGTTCTGCCTAGGACTCCTGATTGAATGTATCTGCTCAGGTTACAAACTGGATCAAACCTCCCTTGGGTTGGAAGAAGCTTAATGTGGATGCAGCCTTTGACTCCACTCATAGGAAGATGGGATTTGGCCTATTCCTAAGAGATGCAAATGGGTGCTTTGTTGCTGCAAGAAAAATCCCTTGGCATGGTTTATTTAGATCCGATGAAGCTGAAGTAATGGGTGTAAAGGAGGCACTAAAGTGGCTGAAGGAGCTCAATGTGGATTGTGTGGAAGTAGAGATGGATGCACCGAAGGTGATTACTGGATTACAAAGCTGCAAAGTGTTTACATCTTTTGACCTTATCCTTGATGATATTAGGAAACTAGCTAATGACTTTGTCAATCTTAGCTTTTTATTTGCTAAACGGTCTGCGAACAGGATCGCCTACTTCCTTGCTTGGGAGACTGTAATACCCCCTTTTTCTTAACTTAAAAATGTAGAATAAACAATCTAAAAAGACGAAAACAGCATAAATAAAGACTAAAAAGGATATATAAATCCAAAATTAACATCCAAAAGAGAGTGTCACCGCCACAGTTACCCACTCTCGAGTAATTGCACATGCTAATCAACTAACGAACTAATCAGAATCAAAAGGTATCACTATAAATCAGGCCATGATTCGGCCATTAAATGTGAACGAATAAAGGGGAAATAGTGGAGATAATCTTGCATGGAGGAGACAGATACTTTCTAGTATTCGAGCAAGCGGGCTCAATGCTGGAAAGTAAGGGACTAGTTGATGGGGTGTAGACCCAATTTGCTTAGGGCCTGAGAGGGAAAAGAGAATATGGGTCGAAGATTGGGCTCACAGCGATTGGCCCCAAAGAGGGGATGAAGGGAATAAGCGACATGGGCCATGAGCAGGCCTAGAGAAAGACTAGGCCAAAGCCGAGTCCAGGGAGTCGGCGCGAGCAGATAGTCGGCACAGACAAGGGTCGGCCCAGTAGGTGACCGTTGTCATTAACGGGCCGCCTTTAATGCTCGGTCAACCAGGCCATTGGGAATACCTAGTAACGGCAGCCCAACGCCCCTTAGCCTTAATAGGCCCCTTTATGTCACTTTAATGCTTATATTTAAACTAGCGAGGGAGGCTACCTATAAATAGGCCCCCTTGAAGAATGTAAAACGGAGCTTCTTCGGGCAGAGAGTCGCTAGAAAGTGCAAATAAAAATACCAGATTAATAGTAATTATCTCTTTTTTAGTAGCATTATCTTTACAATGAATCCACCAACTACAGTTGTGTTGGACCTCCTTGGGCTCAAAAACCCTAAAACCAACACAACGCATCTGTAATAAAATATTTATATACATTAAGTTTTAATTTAATTTTATGAAAATAGAGAATGAGTTTAATTAATTAACCTACTATAATGTAAATTGTAGATTTAGTTTAATTTTTACGAACATTAAGGTTAATGTTTATGGACGTATAGAATACATATTATGAATATATTACAAGTTGAATGTTATTTAAACATGATGTCTTAGTAGTAAAATGTTTATGTATATTACATTTTATTTTTATGAACATAGAGAATTAAAATTATGAACCTACTATATAGTAAATTGAAATATACATGATATACATTTAGTTTAGTATTTATAGAACGTAAACAACAAATTATGTGTCTATAGAGCTGTCAAAATGGCTTGGGTAATATTATAAAATATTATTAATAATAAATAAGACTTGAATCTTTAACCTTTCATCTATATCTATACTATATATAATAACATAATCTTGGAATTTTAACTTCCCGCCCAATTCCTAAAAAATCTATCTTTCCAATAAAATATATTGATTTCTACTTTCCCATTTGTACAATAATTCTGGGTAAAAATTCTATTCTATAATTTTAAAATTGTGTAATACAATTCCCTTTGTACATCTATACTATATATAATAACAAAATCCTGGAATTTTAAATTCCCGCCAAATTCCTAAAAAAATATCTATTTCAAATAAAATATACTGATTTCTACTTTCCCATTCGAACAATCATTCTGGGTAAAAATTCTAATCTAAAATTTTAAAATTGTGTAATACAATTCCCTTTGTACATCTACATCTATACTATATTTAATAACAAAATCCTGGAATTTTAACTTCCCGCCCGATTTCTAAAAAATCTCTCTTCCCAATAAAATATATTGATTTCTACTTTCCTATTCGTACAATCATTCTGCGTAAAAATTCTAATCCAAAATTTTAAAATTGTATAATACAATTCCCTTTGTACATCTACATCTATACTATATATAATAAAAAATCCTACAATTTGAACTTCCCGCCCAATTCCTAAAGAATCTTTATTCCCAATAAAATATATTGATTTCTACTTTCCCATTCGTACAATAATTCTAGGTAAAAATTCTATTCTAAAATTTTAAAATTGTGTAATACAATTCCCTTTGTACATCTACATCTATACTATATATAATAAAAAATCCTGCAATTTTAACTTCCCGCCCAATTCCTAAAAAATCTTTATTCCCAATAAAATATATTGATTTCTACTTTCCCATTAGTACAGTAATTCTGGGTAAAAATTCTATTCTAAAATTTTAAAATTGGGTAATACAGTTCGCTTTGTACATCTATACTATATATAATAACAAAATCTTGGAATTTTAACTTGCCGCCCAATTCCTAAAAAATCTCTCTTCCCAATAAAATATATTGATTTCTACTTTCGCATTCGTACAATAATTCTGGGTAAAAATTCTATTCTAAAATTTTAAAATTATGTAATACAATTCCCTTTGTACATCTACATCTATACTATATATAATAAAAAATCCTGCAATTTTAACTTCCCGCCCAATTCCTAAAAAATCTTTATTCCCAATAAAATATATTGATTTCTACTTTCCCATTTGTACAATGATTCTAGGTAAAAATTCTATTCTAAAATTTTAAAATTGTGTAATACAATTCCCTTTGTACATCTATTTCTATACAATATATAATAAAAAAATCCTGCATATTTAACTTCCCGCCCAATTCATAAAAAATCTTTATTCCCAATAAAATATATTGATTTCTACTTTTCCATTAGTACAATAATTCTGGGTAAAAATTCTATTCTAAAATTTTAAAATTGGGTAATACAGTTCCCTTTGTACATCTATACTATATATAATAACAAAATCTTGGAATTTTAACTTGCCGCCCAATTCCTAAAAAATCTCTCTTCCCAATAAAATATATTGATTTCTACTTTCCCATTCGTACAATAATTCTGGGTAAAAATTCTATTCTAAAATTTTAAAATTGTATAAGACAATACCCTTTGTACATCTATACTATATATAATAACAAAATCTTGGAATTTAAACTACCCGCCCAATTGCTAAAAAATCTCACTTTCCAATAAAATATATTGATTTCTATTTTCCCATTCGTACAATAATTCTGGGTAAAAATTCTATTCTAAAATTTTCAAATTGGGTAATACAGTTCCCTTTGTACATCTATACTATAAATAATAACAAAATCTTGGAATTTTAACTTGCCGCCCAATTCCTAAAAAATCTCTCTTCCCAATAAAATATATTGATTTCTACTTTCCCATTCGTACAATAATTCTGGGTAAAAATTCTATTCTAAAATTTTAAAATTGTATAAGACAATACCCTTTGTACATCTATACTATATATAATAACAAAATCTTGGAATTTAAACTTCCCGCCCAATTGCTAAAAAATCTCACTTTCCAATAAAATATATTGATTTCTATTTTCCCATTCGTACAATAATTCTGGGTAAAAAGTCTATTCTATAATTTTAAAATTGTGTAATACAATTCCCTTTGTACATCTATACTATATTTAATAACAAAATCCTGATATTTTAACTTCCCGCCCGATTTCTAAAAAATCTCTCTTCCCAATAAAATATATTGATTTCTACTTTCCTATTCGTACAATCATTCTGCGTAAAAATTCTAATCCAAAATTTTAAAATTGTATAATACAATTCCCTTTGTACATCTACATCTATACTATATATAATAAAAAATCCTGCAATTTGAACTTCCCGCCCAATTCCTAAAGAATCTTTATTCCCAATAAAATATATTGATTTCTACTTTCCCATTCGTACAATAATTCTAGGTAAAAATTCTATTCTACAATTTTAAAATTGTGTAATACAATTCCCTTTGTACATCTACATCTATACTATATATAATAAAAAATCCTGCAATTTTAACTTCCCGCCCAATTCCTAAAAAATCTTTATTCCCAATAAAATATATTGATTTCTACTTTCCCATTAGTACAGTAATTCTGGGTAAAAATTCTATTCTAAAATTTTAAAATTGGGTAATACAGTTCGCTTTGTACATCTATACTATATATAATAACAAAATCTTGGAATTTTAACTTGCCGCCCAATTCCTAAAAAATCTCTCTTCCCAATAAAATATATTGATTTCTACTTTCGCATTCGTACAATAATTCTGGGTAAAAATTCTATTCTAAAATTTTAAAATTATGTAATACAATTCCCTTTGTACATCTACATCTATACTATATATAATAAAAAATCCTGCAATTTTAACTTCCCGCCCAATTCCTAAAAAATCTTTATTCCCAATAAAATATATTGATTTCTACTTTCCCATTTGTACAATGATTCTAGGTAAAAATTCTATTCTAAAATTTTAAAATTGTGTAATACAATTCCCTTTGTACATCTATTTCTATACAATATATAATAAAAAAATCCTGCATATTTAACTTCCCGCCCAATTCATAAAAAATCTTTATTCCCAATAAAATATATTGATTTCTACTTTCCCATTAGTACAATAATTCTGGGTAAAAATTCTATTCTAAAATTTTAAAATTGGGTAATACAGTTCCCTTTGTACATCTATACTATATATAATAACAAAATCTTGGAATTTTAACTTGCCGCCCAATTCCTAAAAAATCTCTCTTCCCAATAAAATATATTGATTTCTACTTTCCCATTCGTACAATAATTCTGGGTAAAAATTCTATTCTAAAATTTTAAAATTGTATAAGACAATACCCTTTGTACATCTATACTATATATAATAACAAAATCTTGGAATTTAAACTACCCGCCCAATTGCTAAAAAATCTCACTTTCCAATAAAATATATTGATTTCTATTTTCCCATTCGTACAATAATTCTGGGTAAAAATTCTATTCTAAAATTTTCAAATTGGGTAATACAGTTCCCTTTGTACATCTATACTATAAATAATAACAAAATCTTGGAATTTTAACTTGCCGCCCAATTCCTAAAAAATCTCTCTTCCCAATAAAATATATTGATTTCTACTTTCCCATTCGTACAATAATTCTGGGTAAAAATTCTATTCTAAAATTTTAAAATTGTATAAGACAATACCCTTTGTACATCTATACTATATATAATAACAAAATC